AATATTGTAACGAAATTGAGCTTGGTATCCGTGTCCACCCAGACTAAAATGGGTAGCAGGCTAGCTGTAGACCCCAAAATCGAAAAAGGCGTAGATATCGCAGCCTAGCCATACACCACAACACAACGTGCCAGCCGCCCAGTTAAGTACCAAAAAAAAAAAGAAATTATATCACCTAGCGTGGAATCGAACGCAAGTCACCCGCATAATAGGCAGATATCGCTGTAAACCACAAGTTAACGTGGCAACCACACTTTTAAGGGAAAAAGAACAATTATCACCCTGCGGGGAATAGAACACTGGTCACGCGCGTGAAGGGTAGAATACTTACAACTATACTACTGAAGACTGAAGAGTTTAGGTTAGATATCGCAGCCTAGCTCTAAACCACAACACAATATGCCAACGGCTCTTTCGAGGGTGAATGAATATTACCCGTGACATGACAATTGAGCATCACGTCGCCGCTATCGCAGGCTAGCTGTAAACCTCAAAACCGGAAAAAGGCGTAGATATCACAGCCTAGCCATACACCACAACACAACGTGCCAGCCGCCCAGTTAAGGGCTACAAAACACTTAAGCAAATTGGGTAAATTAAATTATATAGTAACGCCGAATTCAATAAGAGCTCAACAGTCAAAAATGGCCAATCAACTGAAAACAAATCCGGGCCGGCAACGATACAAATAATGATTTGACCGTTGCTGGAGCTACGTCATTCGTGGTTTGTGCGATTTTCTGACAAAAAAATCACGCTTTGAGTCAAAGGCAACGTTGTGTGAAAATTCAGTAGTTTTCAAGTTTAGAGTTAACAAGCTCGGAAAATTTACATTTGTTATTAATATAGATAGACATGTATGAATACACGAGGGTTTCAAATGCAAAAAAAAAAAAAATTTAAAGTTTGATAGAAATTACAAGAATCCTGCCATTGTCTTGTAACTTGTAACTGCTGTCATCATCATCATCGTCGTCGTCATCATCATTATCATTATTATCATTATTATCATCATCATCATCATCATCATCATCATAGTCATCATCATCATCATTGTTAACCACTTCTGCCATCAGGCTGCGTGGGGAGGAATAATTTGCGATCCAGTGCACGATGGCTGCCACTGGCTATTGTCATGCCGTGAAAACGTAAAGCGTCTTTAATGTTGTCAATTCAAATTTCCGCGGCTTTCCTCTTGTTCTTGTAGCTGATCTACTGAGAGGTAGTGCTTGTGATGGTTTTTGATCTTGCTGCATTCTAGCAAGATGGCCAAACCACTTGATCTTCTGTTCCTCGATGAATCTAGTACAAGGTGTCATTCCTACAATTTGCCTGATAGTGTCATTTTTCACTGGATATCGGATGGTCAGGTTGACTGTTTTCTCAGGCACCTTATCTCGCACGTGGTGATTTTGCGTAAATGGGCTTTAGATAGTGTCCGTCTTTTCGGACCAAACTGCTATAGTCACATGACAGAGAGGTAAAAATTATACACAAGAGAGTTGAATGGTCGTAGACCACGAGGCAGATCAAGAAGACGATGGCGTGATAATATCTAGTCAAAACCTATAAACACTTGGTGTCACCAAGTCAACTCAGTAGTGATCCGCTCTTGTTAAAGGAATGTTGGCGTCTCATACAGTACGTTACTAACGTAGCTGGGTATATTGTGTTATCCCATCTCTTCTTCTTGTTCTTCCCTGGCAGTTAAACTTGCCAGATGCTACAATTCATTTTTTCGTTTAATAATAAAAAGGAATAAATTGGGTGACTCAAAGAGAAAGAGCCGACGTTATCCCTTCTATAATTAGTGCAGATGTTACAAAAATCGACTTTGCAAGGTTATTCTGTGAATAGTCCTGAATTATTTCCACACTGTACCATAACAGGCGTTATTCTGAGACCACCCCCCCCCCCCCCCCCCTCGGTGATGATTCTGAAGCCAGAACTTTGCATTTTGTCCAGCTTTTGAAAATATGAATGTAATTCACTTGTATCTGCGCCCACTCCGTATTCTATGGAGGTTTCTGATATTTTCGAGTTTTTTTTTTTTATTTGTGTATTGTTGTTCGTCGGCTTTCTTTAAAACTAAGACCATTTTAGCCTTCTGTTCAATTTGATAGCTAAGTAAATGGGTTGTTCTTCTTTTGGTAGGTGGTTGTTCTCAAAGTGTAGTGTATCTGTTCAGTTTTGAGAAAGAACGAGAAGAATCTGGTGTCTGTCTTGTTTTGGTTTATTTTGACTCCCTAGCTGTCATTACTTACTTTACTTTTTCCTTCCACGTATGCCGCTAAGCGTTGTGGGGAGATGCAAGTTCCTGTCGTAAGCAAGGCGGGCAGCATCTGATGTTCTGAGGCCATGCTTTTGGCAGGTTTCGGAGACCCCGTCAATCCACCGTTTCCTTGGTCTTCCTCTTGCCTTATATCCTGAGCTTCTTTGGTTGAAAATTTGTGATGTTATTTGATCATTTTTCATCCTGGTTAGATGTCCAAACCATTTCATTCTTTGATGTTCTATGTAGTCTAAACATGGTGTAGTTTTGACAGTGTTTCTAATGTCTATATTCTTTATCCTGTCTAGTCTGGTCTTATTCGCTGCTTTTCTTAGACATTTCATTTCACAGGCCATTTAATGGCGTTAATTGACGAAAGGATTTCTCTAAGCGAGGAAACATGTTTTGGTGATTGAAAACATAATGCTTTAACTTAAATGCAACGCCCACACACATGATTGAGGTGTGCATCTTTATTACACTTGATTACTTAAACCTATAGTATTTTCTACATGTCACAATGAATGTGAGGGTACACAGTATTTCAGAAGATATATAATCGGAGCATTAAAGTTAACAATATTGTTAATATCCACAGGCTGGTCTTAATGGCGAAATTTCTTTCTTGTTGGGTTATCATTTCAAGCTAAATTTAATGTTATCACTATTGTTTATGTGAATAGGCCGATTATAATGATTGTTAATACTCGTCATGAGTATACACAAAGGTACCTGCGTGTTGGTGCTAAGAGGTTTATAATTAATTGCACATCCTTCCGGTCATTGCAAACAGCATGCTGGGATTATAAAACCGGATCAAAAGAAAATGTTACTAGTTGAATTCCAAGTCGATATTGTAGATACTTGGCTCAAATAAACATTGACAGTTCCTTGCGAAAAGATGTAGTGAGGTAGAGAGGGTGGTGTGCAAGAGGAAGTAAATAAAAGCATGGAGGGTGCTGTAGACTGATTACAGGAATCTTTCTAATGATCTCGCTTTCAACATTTCTTATCACTCTGTTTTAAATGCACTCAGTTGCTGTTAGAATACGTATATGTCAATGCACTCATAATGGTCATGTTAATAACAGTCGTGAAAACCGGTTCGACTCTCAATATGCTTACAAAACAAACAAAACGTATATTTATCTGAATAACCTTTGTAAAGTTCGCGCGGTTTTAACTTTTCGTGGCGAAAGAAATAGAAAGTAAGAAATTATACTATCAGACAGACTGTGGGAAAAACACATGGCAACAAATAAACTGAGAAACATAAGATGTAATGATTTAGTCATCTCGTTAGGATGAGACGCAACAGTTATTAACGTGAGAATATCTCATGTGAAGTCAAGAGGTCGCCCTAGAAGGAAGCGGATTGATAACATAAAAATAATTTTTCTACATCGACGCTAAATGACAATAGATATTGTTACCCATATAGCAATTTATCACAAACTTTTCCTCTCCACGACGCATATCGGCAAAAGTTGAAATCGATGATGGAAAAGAAAAGAATTAGAAGAAAAAAAAATGCCATTTGAAACTTCCTACTCTAAATTACTTATGAAATCAGCCCTAACGTTTAAACAACTTCACATATAAGATTAATTTAAGATAGCTGGGGTAGTCACCATGGCCGAGCGGCTAGACGCTCGCCGCGGATCGGAAGGTCGTGGGTTCGCTCCCTGGCGAAGCAGGACTTTTTCAGTAATGACCCAGGTTGACCCAGCCTTGAGTGGGTACCGGATGCAGTCCCGGGAAAGTGAAGGCGGCCGGCGTGATACTGACCGCATCACCCATCTTGTGCCGATTGGTCTATAAAAATATAGGTCTAGCCCTATATGCCCTATACGCCTTATGCGTATACTTTACTTTACTTAAGATAGCTGGCGAGATATTGACTAAATCACAACCTAGCACTGATTGCACAATACAAATATGAGTCGAGCATTGTTTGTTCGGTAAAGGTGGCAGGAGAATCGTTTACATTTTTAGTTCAGTGAAAATATGAGTGCAGTATCAATTGACTGAAAAAAAAAAAAAAAAACAATACCATTTGAAATTTCCTTTTTTTAAGGATTTATTGATCAGCATTGACATCCAGAAGACATCTTCAGGTAAACAGATGGGTCTGTGAAGCGCGGATCAACACCAGCACGGGCGTACACAGCGCAAAGAATAGGGAAAACATCACGAGAGGATAGCGGCGCCTACCAGAGAAGTACGTCAAGCATGACCATAGAGGCAGCTGCTTATTCCAGATCACTTGCCTAGGTAGCAGAACAAGCGGCCGCACATGTAATCATCTTTTCAAACTCTATGAACGTGCTTCACACAATCGCAACATGTAGTTTACGCTCCAAATCGGTACAAAACATTCAAAACATTTGGAGGTCGCAATTAACCTCCATCATCTGGATCTACACACCTGGACCACGTAGGAGTAAATGGTGATGAGAACCATGGACAGAGCTGTTATCGACCACACTGGGTGATAATGTTGATTCTCTGATGCTAACACAAGTGCGTAACCTAGCAGTTAGGTTTGGTAAAGCACGTCTGTGCCATCTTCGAGGTCAATACATGACATACTATAATCAACTTCCAATTGGAAAACCAGTAGAGGTACCTTGGATTTAATGCTGCAAAGGAGGACTGAGCACGCATGGGAATTCCTAATATTCGAAGACGTCGATTGTGATTACATAACCTCCCTCAAATCTCGGAGTCAATGCAAATTATGGTCTCGAGTGAAACCAGACCTGCTAAATAACATTAGAAACTCGTGTCTGTATCGGCTGCTGACGTTGTAATAGACAAGGATGTTCACTGTACAGTTGATAACTCCAAACTCAAGCACCAAACTATACAACAATGCATGTAATTTATTATGCTGCTTGTTTACACGTATTTCTGTAATCAAAGCTCTCAGAAAAGAGCTGATAAAAACAGGCAAGTTACAAACAAAAAATATCATAGCCAACAATACAACAATTTTTGTAAGTTTCAGGTCCTTGCCTGACATTATCGTTGTTCTTTTAATTATATTTGCTTTGATTTCTGCTGGACAAACGTCTTCCCTGGAATTTAGGCCTCTTCGTGGAGTCTCTTTCTTTGTATATCTTTGTCTGAATTTGGTTGAATCGCTGATCCCCTGAAGCATAAACCCGGTACATACTAGGATCAGAATCTGCGCTAACACAGGCAGTGCCATTCCATTACAAGCATCAACGAACAATTCGACATCACGTCTGTTGTCAGACACCCAAATATCTAAACGTGTCCTGTTGGTTCCAACATCAAACGTCCACTGCACGCCCTGGGTGGCCCACGCTGGAGTGAAACAAGAAATACCAAATAAAACAACCACTGTGTTGGCGATAATAACCCGTCTGGAAGTAAATATCTCCTTCACTTTCAAAGGGAAGATAATACAAATGCATCTCTCAGCGGAGAGATAGACGGTGACAAACGTCATCATGACGTAAAAGAATGCTTTAGTGTTTCCTAGATACACATACTGAAGCGATAGCAAGTTCACATCTGCTAATGGTGCAAATTTGTCTACAGCTTGAATTATCTCAGACAAGCAGGACAGACAGCAGCTGATTAAAGTCCACACAGCAAGTGAAATAAAAGAGGCGTTCACACTTTCACTGATCCCCAGTCTCCAGTAAACGATAATGTTGATGATATTTGCAGTTGCTCCCAGTGACGACAATATCAAATTGATGGCCGTTGAGATGTATGTTACAAAATAGAATAAAACAGCCTCTGATGAATTCGTTTTTGTAAGAACGTAGTTAGTGTTTGGATTTCTGTCTGTGCTTAAAAAGACGGCCATTAAATTGTTGGTTTTATTCCACAAATCCATTGTTCTTTACTTTAATCTATTGGTGCCCACAAGGTTACTGGGAACATTTAACCTGTTGTAAACAAATACATTAAAATTAGAGTACACAACTCTCATCATTTGTACTCGTACGAGCTTTATACCTTCCTCTTTAAAGTTGGCTCTTTTAAGGATGGTTAGCATCTAGTGGTTTACTGATAGGCTGCGATATATGGGCTTGTCGGCCTAATATCCGATCTTAGTAGTCAGTCACATTTTATCATAAGCTTGTTCAAAAAAAATCCTTTCCCGCCTCCATAAAAATGGAGCCACATTACCCACACTGGGAAACAACGATACAGCAAAACCGAATTATATTTATGTCTATCTGCTGTTGTGTTATTTGGTTACATTCTACAAATGAATAAAAGGAGACATCCTTTGAGGTTTTCACAAAGAAAAAAATCATTATTATCAGAGATATTAAACGAATTAGCAAAGCCAAATTGAGCTGTTTTCCTTAATGTGATAGGCCCTGGGAAATTTCTATATAAATTTGATAAAGCGAACCAAAAACTTCGCAAACTTGGATCAGAAAGTAATAAATAAGAGGAAAGCTGCCCATTCGCCCTCTTAAGCCTCTGCTGTTCGGACGAGTAACATGCAGTTCTGATTTTCCCGTTTCGTTCAGGGGCTTAGCGCAACGCTGGTTAAGCTGTGTAGGCAGAAAAAGGTTGCCATCTGTTGTAGGGTAATTTCGAACATTGACTTTTAATGCAATATTATTTGTGGAGAACTTAGCTTATGTTCAGTGAAATAAACAGATGTTGAATGTGTTAATTATAGTTCCTGATGTTTTGATTCAGATTAGGGCTTGTGGGTAGTGTGCCTAGTTTACTGTTACTGCTATCTAGACTGCATACAAAAGATCTCATGTCTGGGCTAGAAAGTTTCTGGTTCTAGTCCCCGCCTAACGAACTCTTTTTGGTACTTAGGCTTTCGCTTCTAGTACATTAAACAAAGGGAAACAGAGAGATCAAGAAATCAATGAAGGCATGAGGAAATAAGTTATTATATTGCTCCTTAAACATATGCATGAAGTGTACAGGGCATATGGTGGCAGACTCATCTGTTTATTGACCAACCGGTACTGTATGGGTGCCGTTGTGAGCATCACTCAGCCCCACTATATCATCTGATACCCGTTGTAAGCTGTGCCGGGTAGAACTAGGAGCGAAGGTCAATCTTCAAATCAGATGGCCTTCGATGATAATTTGAACTCACAGCTTAAGCCGGAGGGAAAGGAAAGGGGGGGGGGCAGATCTTAGATAAAGGTCAGACCAGTAGGCTACATCGGCTTAAAAACATTCAACTAAGGAGACTCCGTGGTCTCGATGTATGGCATCCGCCTCGAGTGCTGGAGGTTCCGGGTTCAAACCCTGAGAGGGGCTATAATTTTACGCGTGGACTTCTAGTTATTTCTCCTGGTCTTTGGGTAGTGAGACCGGACTCCCGTGTGTATTGTTGCGCACTTAAAAAGTCTCGTGGCAGTTGAAAATCTAACGGCGTTGCCCGGGCGAAGTTTGGAGTTAAAAATCTACCCAAAGCCTTTCAAGATCCTCCGCGGTGCAACGAAGTTCGTGCATTGCGCTGAGATTCAGACTTGAGTTAGAAGTAGAACAGAGCACTAATGGGTTACACCCGTGTGCAATGATGTTGATCCGTTGAATAAACCTCAATATAAACAACCAAGAAAGTTCTGATCTGATGTGGGAATTTCTCTCGATCTCAAGGAAAACAACAAATTGTCTAGTGTTCTCAGGATGGTCAAAGGGAAGCAATGAATAAGAACTTGGTAACTTTGGCGCTGAGAAAGCGCTTTGTAAAGCCGAGATGCCCGGTTGGATCCCAGCTGCAGGCGATTTGGCAGCATACTCTCTTGCTTTAGTTTCGACAGTAGTGTTAAGAGTTCAGAAAGCAATGACAAACTACTGAACTTAATTTGCCTAGAAAAACCACAACAGAAAGAAAACGATGGGGTTGGTTCTTCAACGTCCTGTAAAGGGATAGGCAACTATTGTTACTGTAAAAATGGCTATACACACCTGACAACACTATGTGATATAACAGCGCCACTACGTCGGGGTTTCATGTTCCTTCGTAACTGTCGGGGGCCCTAATATAACCTTACGGTTGAACAGGGTTTCTAGGTTTTGACTTAGGGGATTCTCATCCGACTAATGTTGCATTGCACTTTGCCTCACAGGGTGTTAATCACTCAGTGTGCGGTACGAGAGGGGCTCAGTTTCACTGACTCACTAACCGTGGCACCATTGCTTGGACAGTTTTACGACAAAGGTACAAGAGTCACCCTGTAAAGGAGAGTTTAGTTTCACCACGTAATATTCCCACAAACGACAGTGGGTAAAATGTAGCCAACCTTCATTGTTTAGACGGCACGTATGAATTTTTTTTTTCTCCAAATACTGTGAGTGTCTGTAGGGTGCAACATTCAAACAATGACAAGTATGAGCTCTAGCCTGAGCTCAGCAACCCCGCGAGTCCTATATAATATAATTTGTGATACGTCAGTAACTTTGTTTTTTTCCCCAGCCGGATCCTCAATTTCGTTACTGTCCCGGTTTCATTCAAATCAAACAATCTACAGATCTCTCGTCGGATAAGGTCTCCGTCAAAACATCACCCCCCCCCCCTTTTCGCCTTTTTTGTGTGTGCCCCTGTATTTATTATCATGTGCTGCAAACGACCGTTCATCCGGCTGTGAAATGATCGTTTACCTAAACCCAAAATATTGATCAAGAACAGTTAACCCGTCTGGCCTCTCAACAAAAATATTTACAAAAGCTTCTTTCCGATGTTTTGAAGTGAAATGAATTTCATGTTCAGACTATGGCAACTGTTCTTATAGATTTCATTACTTTACACGCCCGTGAACTTAGTGACGTTTATGCAAATGACATTACGACGGTATAAGGCGTGTCCACTTCATTATTCACAATAATGATTTTTCGCCCAGATTACTTATAAGATGTCTTGAAGTGAATGCTTTATAAAGTCACAAACTGTAAACAGGCCACTAGTATGTTTTGAATCGGTGTCTTTTTCGTATTCGACCAATCAGGCAAAATGAAAACTAGACGTTTATTTACATTATGACTCATTCCCTACAAAATAAGTTTTTTTACAGGTTGCATGCCAAATTTCCTACAAGAGCATAATTTTGCCAGTTCTTCTTTATGGAGCAGAATGCTGGAGAATGACCAAAAAAGGATGCACACAAGTTGTCCACCTTCCACCACACATGTCTACGTAGAATTATCAAAATTTTCTAGCCAGACCCAATCTCAAACACTAAACTACTTCAAGTCACAAACCAAGAAACTTTAGACAGTATGATTACCAAGAGAAGATGGAAATGGCTTGGCCACGTTATGAGAATGAATCCTGATATACCTGCCAAAACAGCTCTCACATGGACACCAGAGGGAAAGAGAAAACAGGGGCGCCCAAAAACAACATGGAGAAGAACGATGGAAAGTGACCTGAGTGAGTGTGGCATCTTTGACATGGACAACTGCACTGAAGATTGCACAGGACAGGAAAGCATGGAAAGTCCTCTCTGAAGCCTCATGTGCCACTAGGCATAACGAGAACTGATGATGATGCAAAATTTCAAGAGAATAAATATACTTAAACGATTCAGTATATCACTTTGCTAAGTCGTTTACCGTCTTGAATAATAATGATCTTCTCTTTATGATAATCATGGAGGTATCTATTTTGCCCTTTATTCACGTGTTTGATATTATTAAATAACAAAATTTGGTGAAAGACTATACATCATTATGGTTTACTGCATCGCTGCTTGTAGGTGTTGGTTCCCGGGGGTCTAACTGCGAGTGTATGTTTGTGGTATAGTGGTTGAATAGACCCATAGTATCAAGGATGTGTTAGAATGTGGAAATCGAGTGTGTTGGGCCGAAAAGCTCAGATATCGCAGCCTAGCTGTATATCAAAACACACAGTGTCAACAAAGCCTAACTCTAAGGAAGAAGAGGAAGAAGAAGAAAAAGAAGAAGAAGAAGAAGAAGAAGAAGAAGAAGAAGAAGAAGAAGAAGAAGAAGAAGAAGAAGAAGAAGAAGAAGAAGAAGAAGAAGAAGAAGAAGAAGAAGAAGAAGAAGAAGAAGAAGAAGAAGAAGAAGAAGAAGAAGAAAGAAGAAGAAGAAGAAGAAGAAGAAGAAGAAGAAGAAGAAGAAGAAGAAGAAGAAGAAGAAGAAGAAGAAGAAGAAGAAGAAGAAGAAGAAGAAGAAGAAGAAGAAGAAGAAGAAGAAGAAGAAGAAGAAGAAGAAGAAGAAGAAGAAGAAGAAGAAGAAGAAGAAGAAGAAGAAGAAGAAGAAGAAGAAGAAGAAGAAGAAGAAGAAGAAGAAGAAGAAGAAGAAGAAGAAGAAGAAGAAGAAGAAACAAAGAAGAAGAAGAAGAAACAAAGAAGAAGAAGAAGAAGAAGAAGAAGAAGAAGAAGAAGAAGAAGAAGAAGAAGAAAAAGAAGAAGAAGAAGAAGAAGAAGAAGAAGAAGAAGAAGAAGAAGAAGAAGAAGAAGAAGAAGAAGAAGAAGAAGAAGAAGAAGAAGAAGAAGAAGAAGAAGAAGAAGAAGAAGAAGAAGAAGAAGAAGAAGAAGAAGAAGAAGAAGAAGAAGAAGAAGAAGAAGAAGAAGAAGAAGAAGACGAAGAAGAAGAAGAAGAAGAAGAAGAAGAAGAAGAAGAAGAAGAAGAAGAAGAAGAAGAAGAAGAAGAAGAAGAAGAAGAAGAAGAAGAAGAAGAAGAAGAAGAAGAAGAAGAAGAAGAAGAAGAAGAAGAAGAAGAAGAAGAAGAAGAAGAAGAAGAAGAAGAAGAAGAAGAAGAAGAAGAAGAAGAAGAAGAAGAAGAAGAAGAAGAAGAAGAAGAAGAAGAAGAAGAAGAAGAAGAAGAAGAAGAAGAAGAAGAAAAAGAAGAAGAAGAAGAAGAAGAAGAAGAAAAAGAAGAAGAAGAAGAAGAAGAAGAAGAAGAAGAAGAAGAAGAAGAAGAAGAAGAAGAAGAAGAAGAAGAAGAAGAAGAAGAAGAAGAAGAAGAAGAAGAAGAAGAAGAAGAAGAAGAAGAAGAAGAAAAAGAAGAAGAAGAAGAAGAAGAAGAAGAAGAAGAAGAAGAAGAAGAAGAAGAAGAAGAAGAAGAAGAAGAAGAAGAAGAAGATGAAGAAGAAGAAGAAGAAGAAGAAGAAGAAGAAGAAGAAGAAGAAGAAGAAGAAGAAGAAGAAGAAGAAGAAGAAGAAGAAGAAGAAGAGGAGGAGGAGGAGGAGGAGGAAGAAGAATGAATATCGCTGCTAATACTGCTTTGACAGGAAGGCTAATGCGGTCTGTAAAAGTCGGATGTGTCGGCCAAAAGCGCAGATATGTCAGCCATGATGCAAACAGGCACAACACAAATACATCTTCCGCAGAAAGCTATATATATATATATCCATACACATACTGCTTCATAATTTTCTAATCGCTATTCACGAAGATGACGATCATCATCACCTTCCCCGTTGCGGCAGCTGTGTGATGACAAACAGTTTACGGTGCGTCGCTGGATGGGCAGCAATGACCACTTTTGTTTGTTGTGGATGTACACAGCTTTTAATCTCTACAAGCAGCCTTTTACTGGTGCTATCTAGCTTTTAAGTCAGATTTCGGATTGCTATAGAACCCACGTCGGTAGCTGTTATGGCTGCATTCTAATGAAATAATGAACCATTTTTATTCTTTTGCTTCTTAAATAATTATCTGGATAGTTGTGTCTCCACATTTTGTCTGATATAACTTCTCGCTCGGCTGCAGGTGGTTAAATTATTGGTTTTCTCGGACACTTCACATTACATGTCTCAATTTTACGCATGAACACCTTTGTGTTGTGTTAGTGGAACAGTAGTTAACTGTCTCGTTTTTTCCCCACTATATCGTATATAAATTTATTACCTACATGTTCAAAAGAAATTTTTCCAGGTAATTTATACCAACTTCAAGTATTATAGGCTGTCTTAGATGTTAAGCAGTTATTATGCCTTTGCGTACAATAATACCGAACGCGATGAAAGAACTTTCACTATTAATTTGAAGAAGGCAATTTTCTGTAGAAAGCTTACACTGCTCTCTAATTTTAGCGCGTAAAGAAGGTGATTTGCAGCGGTAAGAATTGCATACTGTTAATTGATTATTACCTAGTAGGACAGTTCGCGTAAACATCACAGGACTTTAGAATAAAATCGAAATATAATTTTAGAGGGAAATTATTCTTTGTGACTTCTGAACGCAACATCAGGAGTTTAATTTCCAAAAAAGTCAATTTCGGTAAGGCTCATCCACGTCGAATTCGTAGACCAAAAGAGAAAGCTTTCGATCGAGTTAATAGGGATATGGAATATATTATGGAAGGTATTATACAGGATTAAGAAGTGAACGAACATCTTATTGAATTGTGCAAGAGTTTTACGTGAACAGTCAGTGCGCAGTTAGAACATATACAGGAATGTCAGGAAAGTTATACATTAGATCAGCAGTGAGGCAGTGGTGCGTTGTATTACCACTACCTTTCATCACATACATTGAACAAATTTGCAAATCAGCTAACACCAGCGAAGGAGATAATGTCGGAGAATTACTAAATGAATAGCTTTTCGCCAAAGACCAGGCAATCATAGCACCAACTTCAGTACAACCACAAGAACATAGTAATAGACTCCACTCAGAATAAAGATCAACGTTGACAAAACAGAAGTGATGACATTCTCCAGTAAAGGGAGAAAACCCAATATAAAAAATGATAACACGAGTTAAAACAGGTGAATAATTGTACATAAAAATATTTTTCAGAAGACAGAAGAATTATTAGAGAAATCCAGCAACAGTGAAATAAAGCTAGCTGTAGGTACTGTGTGTGTGTTTATGTATGTATGTCTACGTGTGCATGTCTGCCTGTGTGTCTGCATGTGTCTCTGTGTATGTGTCTGTGCGTGCTTGTGTCTGTGTATGTGTCTGTGAGTGTGTGTCTATATATGTGTGTGTGTGTTTTTGTTAGTTTTGTGTTTGTGTGTATGTGTCTGCGTGTGTCTGCGCGTGTGTTTGCGTGTCTGTGTGTTCTACGTGTATGTGGCTGTGTGTGCCTTCGTGCATGTGTGTGTGTGAGTCTTTGTTGAGTTTGTGTGAGTGTGTTTGTATGTGCCTGTGTGTTTGTGTGTATGCTTTCTATAGGTCGGCTTCTCAATACCACTGTAAAAACCAACGCAATGCCCAGGGCATGCAGCTGGGATCAAACCCGGCACCTCGGCATTACAAAGCGCGTTCGCAGCGCCTAAGCTAGAGACGTCGAATGTTAGTACCACTGTAAATACATTTATTCCCAGTACTTTCAAATCTAACATCTTTGACTTAATTATAGCTTTACTTTTAGTTATGATAGAGTTTCCTAGCATCCTCTAAAATTGAGACCATTTTCTTTGCTACAAAATCTTCCTGTATCTTTACTTGTGCATATTAAGAAGTGGCGCAACCTATACACATTATTAAGTTACTGTTTATAAGGACACTGCGAATTAATGAGACCCCTTAGCGAATCCTTCCATAATTTAGGTTCATATCTACGATATTATTGCCGATCGTTTGTCTTGCCTAAGATATCACTACCATCATCATTACTACCACCATAACCACCACTGCTACCATCACCACTTCCATCAACACCAGTACCACCATCACCACTAACAGAGCCAACATCACCACCACCACTACCATCACTACCATAACCAACATCACCACTACCACCATCACCACTACCACCATCACCACTACCACCATCACCACTACCATCACCACCCTTACCACCATCAACACCAATATCTAACCATCACCACCACTACCATCATTATTACTACCACCATTACCACCATTACCACCATTACCACCATTACCACTACCACCATTACCACTACCACCATTACCACTACCACCATCACCACCACCACTACCACCATCACCACTACTACCATCATCACCACTACTACCACCATCACCACTACCACAATTACCACCACCACTATCACCATTACCACTACCACCATCGCCACTATTTTCACTACCATCACCACCATTACCATCACCACCACTATCACCATCATCACTACCACTACCATCACCACCACTACCATCATCATCACCACCACTACCATTAACACCACTAATACCATTATCCCCGCCACCACTACCACCATCACCACCACTACCACCATCACCACCACTACAACCACTACCATCACACCACTACCACCATCACCACCATTAATACCATCACCACCACTACAACCATCACCACCACTACAACCACTACCATCACTACCACTACCAACCTCACCACCACTACTACTACCACCATCACCACCACCACCATAACCAGTACCATTATCATCATTGTCATTATCTTGAGGTATGCTGATAATCTAGGGTAGCAGGGTTTTTAGGGCACGTAACCATGACAAGTACCGGCACTTTTTTGAAGAATTTATTCCAGCGCTACTGCAAATTTAACTGTATGATGAGTACAAGAAGGAATTTGTTTACTTTAACAGACCTGGTAGGGAGTCATGATTTTCTGTTTGATACGATCACCAGTGCCGAGGATCAGCATTGTGTTCCTGTTAAATATCCCAGTTATCCGGGTATCTCTTTCTTTCTTGTTCTTTTGCGTCAGGTCTGCCCATTGTCACTCCATTTTGAAGTTTATTTCTCCTCATGACATTTCCATCATCATCAGCATCAGCATCATCATCGTTATTCTTACAGGATCATTTATAGACACAAAATAGCAAAATT